AGAGAGAGAGAGAGAGAGAGAGAGAGAGAGAAAGAGAGACAGACACTGACTTCTGAGGAGGGAAGAGAAAGAGAGATAAGAAATGGAATTCAGGATTAGTGTGAAAGCAGGACAGCTCTGACTTCTCTATTTTGCAGGCCTCTGCTTAATCTTTGCCCTTGAAGAACATATTGATGGGAGAGAAAAACTGATATAGGCAAGTCCACAGCCCCTTTGAGGATTTGATTCTGAGCCTTCTCAAACAGTTACAAATCCACATTCAGCTTCAAATTTCTCCTGTATCTCACCCCCATACACAGTCATTTAAAATTTTTTAAAATAAGAAGAAAGAGAGGGAAAATATGGCCCTACACTAACAATCCCACCTGTGTTTCTCTTTGCATACAGATGAGGGTTTTTAAGGCTGTATTGTAACTTCAGTATTTACAACAACAAAGCCCTGAATGCAAAAGGGAAAAGAGAAAATGGAGTGCAAAAGCAATTTTTCTTTCTCTCAACAATGAGACACAGAGACCCTGCAGAGGTAAATGCCTTACTTTGTAGCCAGGAGCATGTTTTTTCTTGTCACTTGCTCATTGGGATCGGAATGTTGTCGGTTGAGAAATTCAGCTACTGCTTTGGCAGGAAATTCGGTTTCGCACACGTACCCAAAGTCCCTGGCTAGGTGGACGGCTTCTCCTGGCAAGGAGTAAAAAGAGGGAGGTGAGGGCAAGAGAATGAAAAAAATTGGGATCAAAACTTTCTCTCCACTCCCTTATTTTCTTAACCCCAAAGTTGAAGGAAACACAAACTACTTGTTTTCTCACTTCGGTCATTTTCTTCCTTCTCTATAGGATCTGGTAGGTGCACTGATGAACAAACATAACATCTGTCCTAAAAAGCCAAGATGATTTGAAAAAGTGAATCCCTCCACCATCTCCAGTTCCATTCTCTGTCTTGACTAACACTTCCCCAACTTCTCTTTTAAAATGATTCTTATATTCCAACCTCACACCTATCAACACTTTCATAAACGATATTCATAATTACTCCTTGAGCTTTTCTGCAAGGGAACAACTGGGGGTTTACATTTTAACTTGATCACATATAATTATCTGTTCATCCAAACCGATTAACCAGGAGGATTTGAGGGTCACTCCACTGAGTCTGTCTGTGTTGTTGATTTTCGAATCTTTGGTTTTAATTTCCTGAACCAGTTGGTTTTTACTGCAGGGCTTCCTGCCATTAGCTCCAGCTCCGGAAGAACGCATGCGCCAATTAGAGCATCAAAGCCCTCTCCGCAGAGCTTGTTTCCATAAAATGGAGCGGATCACAAACAATAACAGTTCTCCAGAAACAGCCTCCCTGCTACAGCACTCAACCCCCAGACCCAGACCAGCTCTCAGGCTGCACCCTGAGCCACCACCCCCATTTCCATGGCATGTAATTCTTTGGGGGTATGAATCGTGGCTTCTCTATGTACTGCTATTATTTTCATAGAATGCTACTGTCGTTGAGTTTCTGGCTCTGAACAATTGTGGGTTTTTTAAACAGTTATATTATTATCGTTCTGGCACCACTAACAGATGGAAATCATAGCAGTCCTCCTCAAATACATAGTTTTAAACATTTAAAAAGTAATTTACAAAGCTATAGCTTGGATTCAATTGCAAACTGTCTTCTCAAATACAAGATGTAAATAAGATAAAATGCCTCCTTTAAATGTGAATGTTACTTGTAAAAAAAAAAAATCTACCTGATAATTTAAGCAGCTTTCTTTTTTCCTATGAGCATTTACCACAAGACAGGAAGACAAAAGAGAGCTTTACATTCATTCCAAAACCCAAACTTAAGCCAATTTAGTATTACTACCCTCCCCCCAAAAAAGTGGGAATCTAGAGGGGGCAGGAATGAGAAGGGACCCTATGACAGTTTATCTAGAGCTGGGAGTTAGGACAGCATTGGCTTGTTTTGAGGAGTCTGGAAGGTGTGTGTGTGTATGTGTGTGTGTGTGTGTGTGTTAAAATCTTTCTTGCCATGAGAAACTTTCTTGCAATCTTGTATTTCTTTTTTTCTTTCTATATCCAAACAATCCAAAGTCTAAAATTGCTTTCTTCCCCTCCAGGAGAGAAGCACAATTAAACAAGAGATAAGGGAGCATATGTTTGGGAAACAAAAACCTACAAGGGCATATAACCCTGAGCTTTCAGGACGGTCTTAAATCAGGCTGCAGGTCAAAGATTCCCAAATTAATTCAGGAAGTAATGGTCACGCATTTCTCAAACGCAGATGTCAGAATAACTTAAGTGATTTACTGCTGAGTTCTTTAAAGGAGACAGGAACTTGGAGAATGTGCAGTTCTTAAATTTGTGCATTGTTTAGGTCAGAAATGGGTTGGGAAGGTGAAATTTTGTAGTAGAGGGAGTAAAGGAAGAAGGATAGGAAAATATGCAAATAGTTTTTTGGCATGCAAGAATTTCGTTCACTTCCGGCTACATTCTTTAGAAAGATGAAACTGCCCAATTGACACAAAATATACCCAAACATCTGGCCACTAAATATCATCCATTTCTGAGAGGCAGACCCTTCTAAGTTAGCAACTGGATTCGCTTACCCTCCACTAGTGATGTGAGCAGGGTAACGTTGGCAGCTTTACGTCTCCCTGCTGGCAGATTTAATCCTATTTTGTCCAGTTTTTCTCTTAAAGATCTTCCTCCATTTTTAGACTTCGCCCTGTTTCATAAATATATGTGAGATAGGGATTTAGAACACATTGGGTTGCTCTGCATCACGTTAAAGTCATTTTGAAAGCTTCCCAAAATTGCTCTCAAAAATTCAGAAGTGTGGCCCAGAGATATTTAGAGGAAGGGAACCTAGGAAGGAATGGTACAGAAAGATTATAGGAGATAAATGCTGGTTAAACTGTAAAGCACCTCCTGCGTTTGGCTGTTATTGCAACTCTTGTGGCAGGTTGGAAGGTTCTGATTTCCCAACTTTCTAGAGAACCACAAACAAACACAGCTCTGGTCTCTAAAGTTGGAGGCATTCTTGAGTGCAACTGATTACTGTATATTTTCCCTGTTGTTACAATCACACAGATCCCAATGGGGTCTTTAAATTGTCTTTGCAAGATCTGCAGTCAGGTTGTTCAGAGTAACCAAAGTTTTCATCACTCTCACGTTTCATGCTCTGGCTTTAGCCCCAATGGGAAATGCATTTCACCAACTGTTTACATGCCATGTCACCAGCCTAACTGGAAATGTCAAAGGCTGATATCAGCCTTAAAATATTTCCCCGATTTCAGAGACAATGGAGGCGGTTCTAAATAGATGTCTAAATAGACTCCCATAATCAGAAAGTGGTTAAGATAAATTGTTTAAATAAAACAGCAAATTAATTAATTTCAGATTTTATTCCCTACTCAAGTGCTCTTTAATTGTGTGGATTAGATTATACTCCCCTAGGTAAACAGTCTCCAATATTGAAGATGGGGGAAGGGGAGGAAAAAGCAGAGGGCAGAGAAAAGATTGTGTCAGTGTAAGATTACAAAGGGAAAGCAAAGTGACTGGGAAAGAGGAAGAGATGAGATTCGCTGCTATTGGAACCATCCCAAACACCCTTACAGAGGATCTGAGTGGGATATACCCACCAGGGTAGATCTGTTGAGTCCACATATAGATAAATAAATGAATAAGGTCAAAACAACGAAACTTCTTGGTCTTATTTAAGGAGGAGAAGGGAGAGGAGAGTAATAAACTTATTAAGCAGGTAAGATCAACACAGGACCCCACAACTCACAAATCTAGGAGGAAGCGAGCAGCAAGAAACCTGCTGGAGGGAAGGTGCTTTACCTCGCTGACTCTTTACAAAAGCTTATCTGCGAAGTGAATCTATTCCGACCACGTATGACACATGCATTCTTTGGTAGCGACTACACATCATGCATATGAAACGGGCCTGCTCGCTGCCTGGCACACATTGCAGTAAGTCAGAACCATCAGATGCCTCTGGCACCAGGGATCGCTGTCTGATGGGAGGTAACAGCGACCAGGGGGCGTGGCGTGCGTCCTCGAAACCTTTCCCTTCCTACAGCTAAAAGTCACTCGGTACCGTCCAAGTCTCTCCACAGTGGTAGGGCAAAGCGAAGAGCCCGAGAGGAAGTTTCCCTGGGCTTGCAAGGTGTGCGCGAAAAGGGAATAAGGTGGCTGCACGGCGCCCCGCGGCTGCGGCGGCCGGGACTGAGCCCATAGCGGAGCGAGGTGCGCGTGCGCGCACCGGAGCACGCGGGACCCCGCGAGCGCGCGGCGCAGTCCGGGCGCGCGCCAGAAGCCCCGAGAGCGCAGGACGGAGGTGGAGAGCGCAGGCGCGCGCTGCTTCGCTCCGCCCCCCAGCTCCCACCTCCTGGGCTCTACGTTCTTCTCCCCGCCCCTTTCTTTTCCCGCGAAGGGAGGGCCCGGGTGCAAAGCGCAGTTGCGCCACCGCCGTCTCCCTGGCGTCTCCCTGGCGCAGGCGCATGGCTGCCCGGGCCGCGGGGCGGGACGGGCGGGGCGGTGCGGGTCTCACCTCCGGAGCACTCCGCCCAGCAGCGACGCGTTTAGACATTCGGGCGGTGAGAGGCGCCGCTGCACTTCCGCCACTGTGACCTTGTACTTCGAGGTGGAGCTGAGGAGTGAGAGTCGACCCGGAACTGAACAGAAAACTTCGTTGGGGTTCACCACGCCACCGAAGAGGTTGTCCTTGTTAATAGGGATGGCGGAGACGGCGTTGCTGTTGGACTTGGACAGGGACACGGGGCCTGCGGAGACAGATGGGGAGGCCGCGTGTGGGCGTCGAGGGTCCCCCGCTAAAATCTTGCCCGACCCGGGTTCTTGCCCCGGGCAGGGGCGGGTTCCCAGACTTGTGCCGCTCACCCCGCTTTCTTCCCGTCCAGCTGGGAAATTCGGAAGCTCTTTTTCCCGTTTTCTCAAACTCCCTTCCTATTCCCTGTCCTAATCCCTCCTCCGTTCGAGCCTCCGGTTTCTAGGCGCCAACCAGGCCTCTGTGTCTGGCCTGACCCTTTTCCCTTCCCCTAAAGGGTGCTGGCTGGAGATGGGTGGTGAAATTGCGACCCCTTGGGCTCTAAGCATCCGAGCAGAGTGGGCCCAGGCAAGGTGCCCAAGAGCGGGAATGGGGGGGTAGGGGGCGAAGTTACATTTGCCAACCCTGGCTGAGTTATGTGTACTTTGGAGTTTTTGCAGGGCAAGGGATTTAGTGTCGGGAAGAAAAACCTTCAAGATACCTATTATTAAAACCAGGCAACAGTTAGGATGGCTAAAGCAGCCAGTAAATGAGCATTTCAGATACGGCACCAAGCTAGAAGAGGTGCATTCTCGTCCCGTCCCTTCTGATAAATGGTTCCTTTCTTATATTCCATTTCAAAAAAAAGATAGGTTTTGGAGATCCATTTCAAGCCCGGTTTTGAACTAGGGGTGGGGTGGGGGTGAAAAACAGGCCCACTGTAAAATAGTAGCAATGGGTCCTTTTGTTGAGCAAATACTTAATGGCCCTCTTGGCTTAAGCCTTAAGCACCTTCACTGGGAGGAGGGTAGGATGTAGAGTGTTCTGCCTAGTTAAAACCATAAGCTCTTCATTGTTGCACCTACCTTTGTTAGAAAAAAATAAAAGACCAACAAAAAGTATACTTAATGGTTACATTTCTCAATATAGTTTAGATGCATTCACAACCATTTTAAGTTTAGTGCATTTGTATTTTAAATTTCCACATGGAGACATATAATAGTATGCACATGCTGTCATCACAGTGCTCCTCATGCGTTCTTTAATGGGGATATTCTAGCCGTATGGGGAGGTGGGGGGCTCTAGGTTTTGGATAGATCACTTGTGACATTAATAGCTCTGGGGAGGCTAATAGAGACAATAGGAGTTAAACGAACTCTTGAGAGATTACTAATAAAAGAGCCAATTATCATGTCGACTTGGAAAGAGCATCTCTTAAGATTTATCCCTTGCACATCTAATTTGACGTGACAAAGACTTCACAGATGCAAAAATGAAACTTTAAACTAGCTAACAATATACTGATTGGGGTTAGAAATGAGAACAGTTTTATATAGCATCGTCCTCTGGTGGTGCCTAGAATCCTGAAATGTAACATTGCCACCATAACCAAAAAAAAAAAAAAGCTGCTACCAAAAGTGAATAGCATTTAATGGAGGAAACTTTATTTCTACTCACTAAACACAATTCAAATTACAAATTCATCCAAATCACTTGACACTAACAATCTTTGCTCTGAGCAAATACACGAACAGTCCTGACATCTTCAAAATGATAATTTTAAGCAAAAGCTAATTTTTTTTGTTAGTCTAATTCACAAAGTTTTAAAACCTTTAAACAGCAAACAAGAAACTAAATTGAAGAACATGAAATCCACCCCACCCCCACCCCCGATAAGCAGTGCATTTATCATCTGTCCTTATATTTACATGAAATTGTACTATTTTAGCATGGTACACTTAACTTCTTAACACTCATGGCCTTAACTCCACAGAAAGAATTAACTAAACTATTAAATGCTTTCAAAATTGAAATGCTGCTTCCAAATCAGTTCAACTATTGCACATTTCATGTGTTTGTCCAAATATCATTAAACTAAATTAAATGGTCAAATCATGAATCAGAAAAAAGCTAGCCTGTTGCCATTACCAAGATACTGAAAGCCGATTATTTAAGCACAGCTCTTCTATGGCTATTTGCTAATTCTGAGCCTTTAGGAAATCCTATTTGAAAAAAATAAATACAGTTCTGCAAGTTCTCTTAAATAGCACTCTGCCTGTAAGGACATGCTTGGAATGCAGAAGGAAATGGCTTACCTTTCTTAATTACAGTTTGATCTGGGATGTTAATACCCGGGTCTTCTACATGCTGCAACAAAAGGATACACATGGATGTAAGTGTATAATCAAAACAAAAGGAAATGAATATTCCCTGCAAGATGGGGGGAGGGGAAGGTGTAGAATAGAAAATCCCCCTCCCATATAATGACATTTATATATAAACATCTCATCTTGGCTTATTGGAATTTGGGGCTTTGCAACTCAAGAGGTTTCACTGCACGCCCCCAGCCAATTTCTCCTCCCCCAGCAAATAATCCATGTTTGAGGGGGGTGGGGTTGGGAGGAAAACTTTCTTTAGAAATTAAATCAAGTTTTGGAGTGCCTAATCTTTCTCACAGTTAGTTCAACCTTTAGAAATGCACCTAGCTTTAGTTTGGCGCCTCAGCGGCTTCGGACTTCAGTGATTCCAGTGTTCAGGTAGCAAAAGCGAGAGAAACACAATAGAACAGGAGAGTGTTGGAAACCCTTTAGGTAATGTAATAAAGAGCAAACACAGTACACCTTCACTTATGGAAAACTAGAAATAAAAAAAAATTAAGGCTACTGCCTAAACTGAATGTGACAGCAATATGAAAATTATCAAAAATGAAAAAATCTTTGGAGTTGCTTTCCTGATGTCCAGCAGCAGACTTGTCAGTGCAGGGTTTTTTCTCTTTTCTTTCTTTCTTTTTTTTTTTTCCTTCTACAGATGGATGGGTATATGTGTGTGTGCTCCAGTCAAAACGTGATTAGAAAGTAAAATGAAATCATGTTTTCTAATGCAGAAACTGACAGGCAATATAATGTCTGGCTGTGTTTACAAATTAGCACCAGGGCTGCTGAGATAGAAGATTTCGCAATCGTTACCAAACACAGGCATTACCATTTAAAAAACTATTACTTCCTTCTCTAGTCTTTGTCCAACAATAATACTGATTCGAACATTTTCCATTCTGTCTTGGATTTATGCTCCTGTTAATTGTGCCTGATCGCAATGATTCCGGGTGGATGGTACTAAGTTGCTTTATTACAGGTTTTATTATACTCAATGCTCTCATTTGTAACTTGCCTAAAGTGCTTCTGGATTTAAGTATAATTAAATTGAGAAATGTTCAGAAATGACTACTGCTGCAGTTCTTGTGTTTTAACTATATGGGGAAATATGATCCCTTTATGCATGCACCCTAAACCCATAAAGTAAATGTAGTGTGGCATAATACTTTTATTTGTGTTATTTCTAGACCTTGTCCATACAGGGAAGACTGTTAAGTTTAAAACCCCACTGAGATATTAATGATTAAATAATTTTCACCATCGATTGGATTTTCTTAAATATTTAGCAGTCATTCTTATTAAAGGTTAACTGTTGCAGCAGTGGGAAAATTGAAAACAACCCTTTTCCTGACCCAAATTCCTTTGAAAGAATTTTTTTTTTCTTAAAAGGTGGGGGAGGGAGAGGGAAGAGCAGCAATTGGGTTTCCTTGCTTTTATTTGATCTTTTGGTTAATTTCTCCTACTGACCAATTTCATCACAAAGAGTGATCATACAGGTATTAAGAAATTCTACCAACCACCTGAAATTTTTGCAAAGTAGAGCAATTCTAATTCACAGTAGCTCCAAAAGCTTACAACATTATTTTGTGCTTTCAATAATGCCAAAGAACAGGCAAGGAAAAGGATTCATAAACTGAGAAAAGGAACTAAAAGGATTACAACTTCCAATTCTTTTTAAAATTGCCCTTTCATAAGTTATTGTCCCTTTTATTTTACTTCTCCCAAAATGCACATTAAATATTTGCTCCTAAAAACATGTAAATCTGAACACACACAATTCTCATTAACCATTACACTGAATCAAGTGCCCACTTTCTTGTTTTCCATGCAAGGCTGCTAAACATAACCAACAAATTTGTGATTGACTGGGCCAAATGAGAGTTGTAATAAATTTTCTATTTTCCTATACAACTTAAATAATGTTTTAAATCTTCCAAGCAAGCAGGTAAGTTCATGTGACCATTTTCCTTACAATCTAATGCAGTAATCATTAAACTGTCAACGGACATACTGCTGCTGTATTTGATGCAGTAATTTGAAATAGCATTTTAGCAAAAATCACATCCAGATACATTTCCTCTCCAAAGAAAACCAGCTTTAACAGAACCCTTTACAGCTTTAATAAAATTATTGACCTGCTCTAATTCCATTTCGGGAAGGATGTGAGGAAACCATAAATATATGGAGTTGAAGCAGAGATGCTGGTTTAAATTTAATTTCAAAAAGTATTTTCAAATTATCAATAGGCTGGTTTGCATGGTAAATAGTAAATGTGATAATGCCATGCTTATTTAGGAATCATTTTAAACTGCATTTATTGATAACTGAATTAGAACTTAAATAACGCATTACCCAATAGTCTCAAAACATTTAATTTAATATGGGGTGTAGCAGGTTCTGATAGGCGTTGGGAACCTAGCTAATGATTTATGAGGTCACCACTTAGCACCCCTAGGAAGAGAAGCCTGCATTTTAATGTCTCTCTACTTGGATTTGCTACTTACTTTTCTTTAGTCAGAATAGGGAACACGTAACTTTTGGGTTTCGCTAGTGCTTATAAAATCCGGCTAAAATGATCTTCATAGTCTGTCTTCCACATTTCTCTTTTACATTGTGAGGGCCTCTGATAGGTTCTTTTGGTTAAATCTAACAGCTTTCCCGGGACAGTGAGAAATCCCCATGCCACACTCAGCGGTGGAAATTAGATCTTCTCACCATCGAAACAGTTTACTGTGGTCGAGAGGGGAAGGTAGTGTCAGTGGTGACGTTGGTCTGATTTATTTCTGTGTTGGTGGACAGGGTAATGGAGGCATTGTTTGACGCAGCTCCGGGAACCATTGTTCTGGGGGCAGTTCGCAATTGCAATTGCTTTTTAATTTTTTAAATTCGCTGTTTACGTCGCTTCTCAAAGCACCCCCCTCCTCCCAAAAAATATTTGATAAAGGAAATGTCATCGAGGAAAACCCGGGCCGGTGGCCCTGTGTTCCCGGAATCTTCTCTTGAGGGTAGGTGAGAAGGGAAGCGTCCCCTCCCGCGCGGCCTCTTACCGGGACGTCCTCGATGGCGTGAGGTAAGGAGTGGATCGGGAGGTCTCCGAGTCCCGAGCCAAGCCCGTGCGGGCCGTGCAGGAGGTCCTCGTGCCGCCGGTAGTCCCTGCGAGGATCCAGGCCCGACAGCTGGTGGGGCAGCCCCCGGTGCGTGTGCAGGAGCCCAGACTCCTGGCTCTGCCTCTGGCCGGGCCAGCCCGGGTGCTGCGGCTGCGGCTGGGCGTGCAGGGGGTTCAGGCTGTAGGGGTCGTTGACGTGGGAGTAAGGATCTTGCGACTGGGGGTAGATAGGCTGGTAGGGCGGGGGGAAGTAAGGGGGCTGGAAGTCGGCATTGGGGGTGTGGGACAGCGGCGGGGCGCTCGTGTAGGGAGATTGACCTACAGTGCCCAGCTGGGGCAACCGCGCCGTCCCGTTGCTGGTGCCGTCGTGACGGTCCTAGAAGAAAGAGAGAGGGAAAGGAAAGAAGAAGAAATCAGGCGTCGAGTTACAACGGTCTCCACTAAATGCACAAGTCTAGGTAGGAAATCTCCCGTTCCCCTCGGCAAGCCACCGGGAAAAATATCAGCTCTACTCTGTTCATTTCGGAAAATACCCGAGAAGTGAAACAGGCCCTTCTGGGGGGAAAAAAATACCGCAAAGGAATTAGACCATGTACCTACAGGGCACAAGAGATTGTCCTCAGGCGTTTCTTTCAAAAGGGGGGGAAGATAGAAAAGGGTCTCTTGGAATACAGCCCCTTCAATTGCAGCGTGAAACCTCCCTTAAGCAAAATTAAAATTCCTACTAAATATTAAACAGCAGAAGCGGCCTTTTCTCGTTCCCCAGATTTGAACCTGCCTGCCACTGAGTTATTGTTTACTCTCTTCCATTTATTTGGAGGGCAAAAAAATCATAAACCTTCAGAGACTATTACCATTTCATGACTATTTAAATAGAAACATGTTTCGCACAGGGGCTGTAACGAAAGCACACGTTTAAATTACCAGCTTAAAGAAGCTTTTAAGTGCAGGATCAGGGATCTGTCTTTTCCGCTTTCTCAGTTAGGAGCTTTTTCTCGACAAGGTCGATTTATGGTAGAAATGGAGAGAGGGGGGCGTCAAGTCAAGGTTTAAAATAGGAAGATTCAGCCTTATTTGGTTGAAAAAGCGAGAGGTGCACCCCGGGGCGGAGGCCCCCGCCCCTTGCACTCCAGCCCCAAAGGGCAAAAGAAACGCCTGAGTTTATGTTCCTCTATTGCAATTCGCTTGCAAAACAGGCAGAGTTGGTTCTAGGGAATGCGAACCCTCGGAGGTTCAGCTGCAGACCCTGGGGGTAGGGGGCACACCGGGCTGCGATTTTCCCGCAGACAGATTAAGCATCAAATGTTGAGAACATCCCAGGAACAAATGAAGACGCCAGGAAATAAAGATGAACTGGGCGAGAAACACGCCTTGGGAAGCAACTGCGGGGTAGGTCCGAGTGCGCGGAGAGGTCGAGCGGGGGCGGGGGTGGGTAGCAAGGCATTCGATTTAGGGATGGAAAAGGGCGAGAGAAAGGAGAGAGGGGAATGCAAATGGAAGAAGGTATCATGAAAGAAACCTGGGCAGGAAACCCGAGGTCTCGGGCAGCTTCGCGGCACCAGGTTTCCAGAATAGAATTCCTAAGGAGACAGGGATGGGGGTGGGGGTGGGACTCACCATAGCTGAAAAACTGTGAACTAACATCTGCGAAGAGTCTGGGGTAACGAGTCAGGGTGGAAAAAAAAAAAAAAGCAAGCCCGGAGCACCCGGCTGCCCAGCCGCCCGAGCGCGCCCCACACAAAAGGCGCCGAGAGCCCCGCGCCACCCAAAGACTCCAGTTACGGCGCGGACGCTCCCCCGAGCGCCGGAGCCCCGCTCGGATCCATGAGAACTTGAACCACCGATTCGCGCGGCTCCTTCAGCTGGTCGAACCCACGGTCTCTATCCTGCCGTGATCAGTTACGATACAAAGTTCTTTTTTAAAAAAAATGAAGAACCCCCCCAAAAAGGAAAAAGTGTGTATGAGTGTGTGTGTGTGTGTCCCTTAATCCGTGTCTCCCCTCTTTTCTTAGCGGCGGCTTCACTTGAGCTTCTAATAACCGCGCTGGGCAGCGTTCCTGGAGCCTCCTAATAGCAGAGATTCATGACTATTAATATTACACGAATACTTAATAAGGGAAGAATGCCTGGAAATCGAGCGTGAAGCGGGGAGGCCACTCGCGCCGGAGCCGGCTCTCAATGCAGTCCATTGACGGGAGCCTCAGTGTAGCAAATCGGAGGTGGGGACAGAGAGCGCGAGAGACAAAAAGCGGGCGAGAGAGGGAGCGGGCGAGCGCGCGGGGGGCCGCGGCGCGGCGTCTGGCGAATCACAGGGAAGGGGCAACATTTTAAAAGGTTGCAGGGCATGCAAAAGTGAAAGAGAAAGAGGGAGAGAGGGAGGCCGAGGCGCGGAGCGCAGAGAGGGAGAATGTGTCTGCGTGCGTGTGTGAGAAAGAAAGTGTGGGCGACCGGGAGGAGCGCGGAGTGGGCAGAGGGGAGGGAGGAAAGGAGGGAGAGCCCGAGAGGAGGAAGGGAGGGAAAGAGGGAGGGAGGAGGAGGAGGAGGAGGGGGCTGAGCCGGAGCTCGCGGAGGGGGAGGCCGTGGGGGAGGGGGAGGGGGAGGGGAGGGGGAGAGGAAGCCAGCGAGGACAATCAGACCTAAAAGGCTGGGGCAGACCTCGGGTTGTAGCGGGGGTCGCGGGTAGCGGGCAGGAGCTGCCGGGGACCGCGTCCGGGCGTTCATCGGGCTCTCCGCTCCGGAGGCGCTGCCCGGCGCTCTCCGGCCACGGGCTCCTCTGCTCCGCAGCGGAGTCTGGGACTCCGGACTCGACTGCCCGCTGCCGCGCGGCTCCTCCACGGCCCAAAGCCCGGACTGAGACCCGCCCGTCCGCTTCATGGGCCCTCTCCTCGGCCTCCTCTCGAGCTTCCCTTCGGACACC